AGGCAAACACTGTACAACGGAGCTAAAAGCCTGGCTCCTTTTTTAAACATTTAATTTAGAGACGGTGTCTTTCTCCATTGCCCAGGCTGGCTGTGCTGTGACCTCCTGAGCCCCCTGCCCCAGCCACCTGAGTAGCTGGGACACAGGCTTTAATGGCTGTGCCAGCTCAGAAGCATTTCTGACAGTTTCTATTTTGCCTGTAACTCTTAAGAGATGATCTGAAACATTTTTTTCAACATTTTGAAACAGTAGGTTTAACAATCTACAGGAGCCCGTGGTGGCCACTCCTGTAATCCCAGCACTTGGGAGGCTGAGGCAGGAGGATTGTGGCAAGTTCAAGACCAGCCTGGGCTACAAAGTGAGTTCAAGGCCAGCCTGAACTGCATAGCCAGACCCTGTTTCAAGAAGAAGAAGAAGAAGAGGGGCTGGAGATTTAGCTCAGCGGCATAAGCGCCTGCCTTGCAAGCAGGCAGTTGTGAGTTCGATCTGCGGTACCGATAAAAAGGAAAAAGACAAAAAAAAAAAAAAAAAAAAAAAAAAAAAGAGGAAGGAAAAAAATCCATGTAAAGGACTGCTTAACCAGCCGTCTTGCCCAAGACCTACAGAGGTCAGGGACTGGACAGGGCCGCAGCTCAGGGTTCCTGGGCAGCACCCGTGGTCCCACGTTCAACCTCTCTGTCCCATGGACACCTGTGAGGGACAAGCTCCCTCCAGCCCTGCATCACTGTACAGCCCCAGGAGCTGCCGGAAACCCAGGACAGGGACACAGTGGAAACTGTGCCAGGCACCTGGGGGCTGAAGGGGCTGCTGTCCCTGGAAGGGTGCACTGAACCCAGCGGGACACACGGTGCAGGGAGAGGAGAACAGGCAAGGCCTGCGCCCAGGCACATTGGGGATGCTTGTCCAGCAGTACTGGGAGGCAGGGGGGTCCCCTCTCCCTGGCCCCGCCCCAGCACCTGGCCACATTGTCGTGGGCCCTGCCCCACCCACAGCCCAGGCTTTTGGCCCAGCACATACCCTGTGGTGTCACCAGGAGCTTCCGGCCAGGAAGGCAGAGGCGCCACACTCACGGCCATCCGAGGCCACCTGCGCGGGCAGTGCAAGTCCAGCTGGGGAGGGAGCCAGGGCTGGGAGCCGGGGGACTAGCTGATGCTCAAGCTGGCCAGGGAAGGTACACACATGGCCGGGCCCCATGTGGGTGACATCTGTCCCTGTACACGGCACCCTATTGATGAGCACCCTCAAGTGTCCCTAGAGTGCCCGAGAGAGGAACGGTGGCAGGTCAGGGGTCAAGAAGAGGGAGACACCCAGCACAGGGAGCCACCAGCACCACATGGCACATGGCCACCCCAGCAGCCTGGCCATGGCTTGGCTTGGGGCTCCAGGACCTGGTGGGGTGCGGGCTCAGGGTCCCAGGGGCATCCAGGTGGGACCAGGCAGATGGAGCAGTGCAGCACCCCGGTCTCGGCCCTGTCCTTGGCCCCCTTCCCTGCTCATCCACTGGCTGGGACTTGCCACCCACTCTGTGGTCTGGGGTATGGGCAGTGGGCCCCGTGGGTGCCTGGTCAGGTCAGGGACGGTCACGCTCCCTGCCTGGGACAGGAAGTTCTAGGTCAGGAAGGGGAGTGGGTGGGGGCTCTGGCCCCTCCCTGGGGAAGGAAGGAGATGTAAAGGCTGGAGCTGGGCCCCCCAGGCTGGGACTAGAGACCCGAGGCAGGTGGGCAGATCTGGAGAGCTGTCCCAGGACACTAGCTGGGTGTCCTCACTGCACGGTTCCTCGTCTGTCCCTTATCCCACAGCCTCAGGATGGGGCCCTGGCGTACCCTGTGGCTCTGGTTCTCCCTGCACAGAGTCCTGCGGGCCCAGGACTCGGGGCTGGTGCAGGCCCAATCCCAGCCAAGGGAATTCCACAGTGAGAAGGTGAGTTGCAGAGCTGGGAGGGGCAGGCACCGTCCAAGCTGCCCCTGGCCCCCCCCCCAGGGGCCAGGAAAGGCTCCTGCTCAGATCCTCCCGACTGCCCTCTCCCCCAGCCTCCCCAGCCCCACCTCTCACGTCTGGAGACTGAGGTTTCCAGAGCCCACCCAGCTGCTGCTGGGTCACCCTGTCTCCACCAGGCCCAGCATCCCTGGTGCAGCCAGGCCCAGACCAACACCTGGGGAGGGATCCTGGGCAGCTGCCAGGCAGTTGGGCCTGTGTCACTCTCCCTGGCCAGCAGTTCCAGGGTGTGTGGTTCGTCCTTGGCCTGGCGGGCAACTCCTACAAGAAGCAGGACCGTACCATGCTGAACCCTTACACCACAGTGTTCGAACTGAAAAATAACAGCCACTTTGAGGTGTCCAACTCCATGATTCGGTGAGTGGCCTGCTTGCACTGTCCCTGCAGTTGAGGGTCAGGGCCTGCCTGGGGGCTGCCTGTGTCCCTATGGCCTCCGTGCAGCCCTAGGTCCATTGCAGGCTGCTGACTGGTGCCAGCTGCTGGTCAGCCCACCTTGGTGGGTACGTATAATTAAGGGGAAGCTTTGGCTGGGCCACGGTTTGGGAAGTGCTGGGCTCATGGATTCCAGGCAGAGCTGGACCCAGGAGCTCGATTCCTGTCATCACAATTCTGTTTCCCTGGGCCTCGCTCAGCTCGGCCTGGCCCAGCCTGGCCTCTGAGTGAAGGGTTCTCATTTCACAGGATGGGCAGCCCCAGGCTGACAGTTTCAGGGTTCCCTGTTTTTTTTTTTACAATTTTTTTTTTTTTTTGGTCTTTTTCGGTACCGGGGATCGAACTCACGACTGCCTGCTTGCAAGGCAGGCGCTTATGCCGCTGAGCTAAATCCCCAGCCCCAGGGTTCCCTGTTTTAAAGGTGGAAAGGTGGAGCATCTGGACAAGGCTGGGGACAATCACTGATTGATTCTTTTTTTTTTTTTCCTGGTACCAGGGATTGAACTCCCAACCTTGCGCTTATGCCACTGAGCCAAATCCCCAGCCCATGATTGGCTCTTTTGAGTCATATGATTCTCCTGAACCAATCACTACATCTATCAGTGAGAACTCTCATTGGCCTGCCTGGACAGGGTGCCCCCTACCCCGTGGGATGATGGACAACCTCAGGATTCTAAAGGGGGGCACCCACCCCACAGCCCTCCTGGCTCACCTTCCTAGTGTGCTGGGGAGGAGGGGCCTAGGGGGTGTCCCTGGTCAGGGCTCTTGGAGTCCAGGTAACAGAGCACCTGCAGGACCAGGGGCTCCCAGAAGCCCAGGGATGGGCCTGCATGTCCACCCCCGCCTGGGCCAGGAGCCAGCCTTGAGCACAACTGGTGGGACCGGGGAGTCCCAGGGCAGGTTGCCTGCTGCTCTGTCACCTCTGGGAACCAAAGCCAGGTCACCAGCGTCCCCACCAATGCTCTGTGCAGTTGGGTCCTGTGCCAGGTTGGGATGAACCCTGGTACACGCACCCGGCAAGCTCCAGGGAGGAACAGGGGTCACCCAAGAGGCCCAGGGCCGAGCCTCCACTGGAGCTGGGGGACAGGAGTGCAGGTCCTCTGCTGCCTGCGGGGCTGAGGACTCCAGGGAAAAGTGGGGTCCTTGGGGTGCCAATGTACCCTCACCCTTAGGCCCTTGCTGACTCCTCAGTGGCCAGCGCTGTGACACCTGGTCTTCTCTGATGATGCCCACATCCCAGCCTGCCCGGTTCACCGTGGACCACGGAGGTGAGCAGAGTGCAGAGTTGGGGGTGTCATGGGGGCTGGCACAGGCTGACTCCTATGCTGTGCAGGGCCTGGCACCAACATAGAGCAGATCCAGGTGGTAGACACCAACTACACCAGCTTTGCCCTCCTGATGTCTCGAAGACAGGCGACTGACCAGCCGATCCTCAGGATCAGCCTGCTGGGTGAGCCCGCCATGCCTGGGCTTGCACATGACCCCTGGGCAGAGGGCAACTCGGGGGCAGATGTTTGGGGCCAGTGACCCTGGGCTGTGTTGTGGCCACCCCATCTTAGTTACTGAGACAAATATCTGATGTCCAAAGGTAAATGAGGAAGCGTTTATTCCGCTCACAGTGTGCAGGTTTCTGACTGCAATCAGCTAGCTCCAAGGTGGAGGCTCATGGCAGAGAGCAGTTCATGCCCCCTCCCCCCTGCACTGAGCAGCAGGAGAGAGGAGCAGGGACAAACCCCCTGCTGGCCTCATGCTGTAGCCATTTGATGCCGGTCCAGTCAGTGCTTACCCAGCAGCCACCCACCTTCAGTCCCCACACCCTTCGTCCTAGCATCGAACCATGAATTGGTCACACACTCTGTATCCGGCCACCTCCAAAAAACCTTCTGAGCCCCTGAGGCTTTGGGGGACATCTAGACACAAACCATCACACTCCCACTGCAGGTAGGACCTGGACACTGCCCCCTGGGACACCAGACAAGTTCATCTGCCTGACCAAAGAGCAGAACCTCACAGAGGACAATGTCGTGTTCCTGGCCACAGGCAGATGCGGGAGTCCTGGGCAGTGGTCATGGGAAACACAGTGCAGCTCTTCTCTGAGACCATGGGGAATGGCCGATATTCATTCCTGGTGGCCGTGGCTGCAGAGCACCCCAAGGAGCACCCCAACCGTGACTCAACGCCCCCTCGGGACCTCGACACCTCATTCCTAATAGGGTGTACTGTGCAACACACAGAGTCCCCTTGGTCCCTAACTTCTTGGTGTCTGACTGTGGGCCCCCAGGACCCTGCACCCAGCCAGCCCCACTGTGAATAAATGCTCTGTGCCTGGACCTGAGGTGTGACTACTGTGACTGAGACAAGGACAAGGAGATCCCCAGCCCCACAGGCCATCAGTCTCTCAAAGCGCCATGCTGTGCTTAGCACCCAGGATGAGGCTGCCGGCCCCGGCCCTGCTGAGCTCCCTCACTGAACCTCCCTGCACATTCCCCAGCTGCCAGGGCAGGGTTGCAGGGCAAGATACTTCCACCCCTCTGGCTGGAGCTCAGGGTCCCTTACAGAACAGGTGGCTCTGACAGGATGGAGATGACTCAACCAGGAAGGGGGCATTGGCTTGGCACCCTAGGGCCCCATGGAGCGCCAGAGGGGCATAGCCACCAGCCAGACCCTCCTCCTGGCCACAGAGCTACAGCCCAGCTCAGTACACCTGGATTTCGCTGGCCCGGCCCAGGTGCCAGCCTGTGCCAGCCACCATGGGTTATACTGTGAGGGCACCAGAGCCCAAAGGGCCAGGTGACCAGAAGCTGGGTGACTACTGGGGAGGCCTGTTCATGGCCCTGGACATGGTGCCAGGACTGCTCTGGGGAGCTGTGTGGCAGGGACACGCTGGGGACTCCTGGCCAGGGCTCAGGATCAGCAGACACCCAGGTGCCAGCCAGGGACTCCCAGGGTGAGCCAGCTGGAGTCTGAACCCCAGGCTGAGGTACAGGTCAAGGAGGCATGGATGCCCCAGGACCTTCCCAGAGTGCAGCTGGAGGCCGCCGTGGAGAGGACGAACAGGGCAAACTTCCAGCCTTTTGCGTGTGTGCAAATCCTCCACGCAGCTGTCAAATTGCAAATAAAATCCTCAGTTCTTTCCAAAGTTTCTAGCGGATGCCTGCCTCTCTTCAGCTGCCCTCCCAGGCCCTCAATAAAGGCCTTTTCTCTTCCATTCTCTCTCTCTTTTCTCGGGAGCCAGGGAGACCAAACAGAGCTCAGTTCCAAAGCTTAGTTTCCATTCCCAGCACCGCACAGGCAGTGCCGACCAGGCCCTGTGTTGAACCCCAGCACTGCAGAAAGAAAAAAAGAAGCCCACTGTCTGCTTTCCTCCAAGAGAACATTGAAGACAGAAGTGTCGGATATTACAGGAAGGGAATGATTTGTGGACAGATGGGAGCCCTGAGAAAGCCTCCGCTGGCCAGAACCAGCTCACACCCAGAGTTACAGTGAGGACGTGGGCACTTTCCAGCAGTCGTGAGCCCCTGGCAGGACATAATACACACAAGCCTTTTAATTGCTGCGCCTCCAACAATTTTGCCTCAAATAAACTGAAGCCAGAGGCAGCCGGGGAGACAGGCACATCTCACTTCCTGAGCAGGCTCCAGCCAGCCCTGCACACCTTGGAGAGGGGCTGCTGGGGTGTGTGAGGCTGGGCTTGTGTGTGATGCCCCGCATGGACGTGGCTTCTGGGGGACAGCCAGTGGCTCAGTGTGCCCGGCTCTGCCAGGAGCATGGCCATGGCAGGGGAAACAGGAGTGGGAACCTAGTGCGCTGCTTCTGGGTGGGGCAGTCTCTGCGCCAGCAGCCTAGCCCGCAGGCAGCATCTTTACTTTGGCCCAGGGAGAGCAGCTCCTCCCGTCACCACCTGGGCCTGCTGGGCATGGACCCGCTGCCTGCTGGGGCTTTTGCTGCTGAGCCTTCAGTTTTCTGGGGACCAGGTGTTCCACACGGTGGGAGTGCAACTTGCAGAGTGGGACTGGAGCCCTTTTGGACATGACGTTAGTCCTTGCCATCCTCCCTCCGGGGCCTTGAGGTCTCCTGGCTGTGCACTGCCCTTCCTTCCCCTGGACTATGGTGGAGCCTGGGCCTGGTCACCTGTCACCCACATATGCCTGTTCTCAACTGAGTGCTGCTGGTGGCCACCGGCCAGCATGTGCCATGGGGCCCACTCCTCTCTGCCTGCACAGGGGAGGGTGCTGACACCCCCAGGAATGGGACTGGGGCAGACGTGGGCAGAACCTCTGTGGGCAGAGCCGGGTGACCTGTTACCCTGGACTTCGCCGGGGAAGAACCCCACTGGCCTCTGCAGGCCCCTGAGCATGCAGGCTCTCACAGTGCCCCAAGTACCAGGCACAGGGGCAGAAAGGGACCAGGATGTGGGTTGTCTCATTCTGGTTCCAGCCAGTGCAACCCTCTCCTAGGGACTTTTCCAGGGAGCTAGGAACTGGCACAGAGGAACAGAACCCAGCTGGAGCCAGCCCCACCGATCCGGGCACTCTGTGGTCCCCAAGGGCCAAGCCCAGGCCCTGCCTGCACAGCCACACTCACAGTGGCCCAAAGCAGAGTGTGGTCGGCAGCTGCTCATTACTACCATGAGGGCAGGCAGGGGTCCTGGGCTAGGTTCTATCAGTGAACTGGAAACAGAAGTGAGCTAGGCCAGAGTTCAGGGCCAGAGCTAGGTACTCCAGCTCAGCCACTGGGGGAGCAGGCAGTGGACTCCCAGGCTGCTTGGGTGAGGCTGGACATCATGTGTACAGTGTTTGGACACGCATACATGTGCACATGTACACAGAGGCGCAAGGCACAGGCACAGGCACTCACAGTACACGTGCTCGGAGACACCCACACGCACATGCATGCTCCCCATGCTGGCGACAACCTGCACCCCGCCCCCCGCTTGTCTCTCCTGCCCCTCAGAAGGGGGCTCAGTCCAAGAGGAATGTGCACTTGCATTCCTTTTCTGTTTTGCAGGAAATGAGCTTATTTCTTTTTTGCGAGGATTAACAGGGAGCTGGCTTTTTCCATCCTGGCACCCTGGTGACTGGTGTGGTCAGCCCCTCCCTATCAGACGCCTGAACTGGGGGAAGGACACTGCACCTGTGCATGGTGCTTGGGATCTGTCCCCTTGCTCAGCTCCCTGGGTGCTCCTACCTCCCCACAGTGACCACAGCATGCCTGGCCCCACCTGCCCCCCACCCTGCCTTGTACCTCCTCTGAGGGATGGAGGATGGAGGGACATAGCCAGACCTGGGATTGGGTGTCCCAGCCCCAAGCCACTGTGAATAACCAGATAACAGGGAGGCGGGGAGCACAGCCAGCTCCATGCAATGCCGCCTGCTCAGCAGCAGAAAGCGCGAGGCTGAACCCCAACACCCTCGGCCTCAGTGTAACCCTGCTGAGCGAGCAGCCAGGCTGAAAGCTGCACGCCCTTTAGAGGACGCCCAGCGATATGAATTGGGTCACACAGGCAGGACGCAGAGCCAGCCAGGGGCAGAGGATGGATCCCCGACAGGATGAGGGGGGCAACTTGCTTTGTGTGTGTTCATATGTATCAAAACTTATCAAAGGAGGGAAAACCCATAGAAACAAAAGCCCACAAGAGGGGCTGCGGATTTAGCTCAGCGGCATAAGCGCCTGCCTTGCAAGCAGGCAGTCGTGAGTTCGATCCCTCGTACCCATAAAAAGGAAAAAGACCAAAAAAAAAATCAAGGAAAAGCCCACAAGAGTGGCGTCATGTGAAAGGGCCATGGGTGTTGGCACATGCTTGTCCTAGCTGCTTGGGAGGCTGAGTCAGGAGGATCACAAGATCTAGGCCAACCTAGGCAACTTAGCGTGACCTTGTCTCAAAATAAAAAGTGCTGAGGCTATGGCTCAGCAATGGAGCACTTGCCCAGCAGGTTCGAGGCCCCAGGTCCAATCCACCGCCAGAGAAAGAGGGAGGGAGAGGGAGGGAGCGGGTTGGCACTCTCCATAGCTGCACCTGGAACAATCTGAGTGGCAAAATAATGAGGCTCACACCCCAAGGCACAGAACAAACGTCCACAGGTGCACATGGATACAAATAAACTGCTCCAGAAAGGAGCACAGGAGAGGCAGTCTCAGGAGGAAACACTGCAAACAGGCAGAGCGCCTGCTCTGAGTGTGGGCTACACAGGACGCCAGCCTGCGCAGCAAGCGACAGGACAGTCTGTGCCTTGACTCCCCCCACCCTCCCCGCTCAGCCCAGCCACCGCCCTATCTCCTGGCTCACGAGATCAAGGCCAAAGCAGCAAGATGGAGCTCATATTGGCAGTAACTTGACAGAGGGGCCTCAAACCATACCAAAATGTCACCTGGGTCCCAGGTCAGGACCTGGGCAGAAAGCAGGGTGTGTGGAGAGTGAAGGGACCTGGAATAAAATGCGAACGTCCACTGTTGGCTGCGATGGTGCTTGGGACGTTGGCTGTCGTCATGGACCTCATCGGGGAGATGGTGCACCTTCTCCCACCCATGCGCCCTTCTGTTGTGTGGCTGAGCCCACGGCAGGCCCCACTCCATGCTGAGCCCTGACTGGCGGGGCCCCACTCCCTTGGTGTGGGCCAGGCACCCTCTTTTTTTTTTTTTTTTTTTGGTACCAGAGATCAAACTCATGACTGCGCACTTGCCAGACAGGCACTTATGCTGCTGAGCTGTCTCCAGCCCCTAGGTACCCTCTGGATGTGCACAGGTGTTTTTAAAGCTCATGCTCTCAGAGATGTGCATCCTATTTTGTTTTGAGACATCTGTCCGGGTGGCCAGGGTTCTCAGGAGTCAGTCTTTGGCTGTGTCCCTACCAGGTCCCTGTTTCCATTTCGCTTGTGCTTTACCTGGCAGAGCGGCCCTCAGCCCAGGCTCCCTGCACCCACTCCATGGTTGGTTCTGACCTGGAGCGGGGAGCCTGTGTCCCCACCATTGAGCTTCCCATACAGCTCCCTGGAGGGGCGATGGAGACTCTGAGGGAGACAGTGGGTCCACTGGTCACTCCCAGTCTCTGGCTGCATCACCCAGGTCTGTCACCTATGGCCCAGTAGCAGTGCCCTGCAGAGGTCAGGCTGTACTCTGTGAGCAGGGTGGGCAGTGGCCCAGGGTAAAACCCAGGACTGTGGTAGAGACCAAGGACCCAAGAGACACAACAGGGAGCTGCTCAGACCCTGGAAGAGGACAGTTACCTCCCAGGCCTTTGGGGTCAGAGGGACAGAAACACCCAGCCCACCTGCTTAGACCTCTTCAGACAGGAGACACATTGAGGGGTCCTGAGGAGCTTGGGGGGATCCCTGGGTAGCCCAGGCCCCTTGGAGTCTACTGCAGGAAGACTATGAGGGGCCAGGGCTCCCAGAGCTCCTTCCCGGCGCCCTCCCAGCCTCAGGGCCACTTCAGTACAGGGTTCAAGGAACCCCTTGAGGCAGGGGAAGGTCCTTGTGATCCCCATGCAGGCAGCGATGGGTTGGGGTCTTTGTCCCAAGCGGAGGCTGGGGGATGTGTCGGGCATTATGAAAAGGCTGGCATTGTGAGTGGTACTGGTCCCAGCCGAACATGTGCGCCAAGGAGGCTGGTGCCAGGCCAGCCCCAGCATGGCACATTCAGTCCCTGCCTGCCTAGCACAGAGACCAAGAGCAGCGCAGCCTGCTGTACCCTTGTGGGGGTGGTAGATGCAGGGCCTGGGCCACCAGACTGGGACAGGCCAGGGCAGCCGCCTCATGGGACACAGGGTAAACTCCCAAAGCTGCAGCTGTCACCTCGCTGAGTGGCATGGCAGTGGCCTTCTGGCTCCGGTGTCGGCGAAGAAGGGGCACCAACAGCTCCCAGACTGCAGAAGGGCAGAGCTGGGGTGGTGGGGCAGTCTGAGGCCCATGGTCCTTCCTGGCAGCTGATGGTCCCAGTAGGTGCCCCGCCCCAGGCTGACACAGGGACACTGACAGCTGGCAGGTAGAGACCCCCAGCTCCCCAGGTCGGAGGACGGTTGCCCTCTTCCCCCTAGCCCAGTCACATGGAGGAAGCAAAGGGCAGCACCTGACCCTTCTCGCATGTGGGGACAGGGCCTCTCGTCCTGGGTGAGGCTCTCAGGTGAGCTCAGTCAGGCGGCACTATCCCCACCTCCACCCAAAGTGGGGGCCCTCAGGGTGGACCCCAGATCCCCAATAGCCCAGGGGTACCCACCACCCACAGCCAAACTTGCCTTTGCCCGGGAACTGCATCCCGTCCTGCGAGGAGAGGAGAAGAGAGGAGAGGAGAGGAGAGGAGAGGAGAGGAGAGGAGAGGAGAGGAGAGGAGAGGAGAGGGTGGGTGGGCACCCAGGTGGGCCCCCAGGCGGCTGCTTGGTCCCTAGCCAGGGAACTCTACCACAGCCCTCAGGAATCCTGCCTGGGGGAAACTGAGGCTCAGTGAGGCCATCGGGCTTCAGGCCAGGGCCACCCTGTCCCCAGCAGATCTGAACCATTGGTGCAGAATGGATGGCAGTAGTGATGCTGGCCCTGCCACCTTCCGCCCACAGTGCTCGGGGAGCATTGTCCCCGGCCTGGTGGGCAGCTCAGGATGCAGGTAATAAGCTTTGAGCCCAGGGGCCATCATTTGTCAGCACATCTGTCCCACACAGGTGAGGGGCACACCCTCAGGGCAGGATGGATGGCACCCACTTGCACGAGGAGGGGCCAGAAGAGGAAGTCTCTCAGTCTTGGAGCCAGGGATGGGTCAGGGCTGAGCCCAGGCAGGTGCCAGGCCTGAGCTGCCAGCAAAGCAGGCAGGAACAGCTGTATAAGGGACTTCAGCAGGAATCCCCTAGCCAGGCACGCAGCAGGCCCTCCACACGCCTCCTTGGGAAGTATGGGGAGCCCCTACCTGCCTTCCACCCCACAAAGTCCACAACCAGGGCCCCTTTCTTCCCTTCAGGGCCTTGCCTGTGATACAGGGCCAGAACCTTTGTTCCCGATGGGTGGCCAGGCTAGGACCCCTTTGTAAGCTGGGCAGGGGAGTTGCCCTCATCCCACATCCCAGAAAGGGCTCCACCTGGCCTGGGCCAAAGGATGCTCTGTGCTATACCCACAGATCCTGCGATCAACACCAAGCGTGTGCAGAAGGGGTTGGGTGGGCCGCCCTGACCCGTGGGTGGGCCGCCCTGACCCGTGGCTGTGCCACATGACAGCCCTTCCTGAGCCTGATTGGCTGCTGATTCCCAGTGGTGGCAGTGACCTGGCCTCCCTGAACCTCCCAGCATACCTGAGATATTGGCTGGGTCCCATCCCCATCCTGCCCCACTCCTGGACATAGTGGGGTGATGACAGACACGGGCTGGGAGAGGAGTGGGCCACACATCTGAATGGGACTCAGGGACTGCTGGGTGCAGCCCCATTAAATCAGAGGACTCTAGGGGCTTGAAGGTAGCTGTCTCACCCAGCTGGCTTCCTCCGTTGTGGCCTACACCACTTCCACTCCTTCTGGCTTCTGGTGGCCCAGGGCACCAGTCTTGCCCCACTCAAAACTCTATAGGGTGCATGGGCAACCTGTGAAGCCCGGGCTCTTCTGGAGAGTAGGAGAGTGGGTCCAAGGGTGCCCCTTGCCCTTCCCCATGTGGTGCTACCCATGGCCCAGGCTGAGGCACAGCAGGTAAGCACAGCCCATAGGGTTCCAAGTCCCCGTGAGCCCAGGGGACGCAGTGCAGTGATACCCACAGCCCTGGCAGCATGAATCCCCTTCCATTCCCAGCCACTTCATCTTCCCTAGGTGCCCACAGGGCCACCATATGAGTGACAGCTGGCCACAGGGACCCGTTGACTAGCCTCCAGGTCCACTGCCTGCCCACTGAGCTTCTTTACCTTGGTTCCCCCTTCTCATCATCATTGAGCCTGAGGCAGCTCAGGACAAAACTATTGGGCTTCCTGTGGGGTTGGGGCCTGGTGGACAGGGCTTTCGAGAAGAAGTTTTTGGCCCCAGTGGGATGTGACCTGGGGCCCAGAGGCTGCACAGCATTGAGGCACACACACCTGGCCCTCCTGGCTGCTGGGGAGCTCTGGCAGCAGAAGCAGGCTGGGCAGGGTCCTCGGCTGCTCTGCCCTGCGACTGAGAAAGGGATGACTGTGCCCCTCCCAGGCCTCACCCGCCTCCCTCCGCACCCTGGGCAGTGGGGCCCAGGCCAGCTCTGTGGGAGCCTCTTGCATAAGCGGCCCTGTGGGGGATGAGGCTGCAGCTGGCCCTAGGCACCCTGCCCCCCGCATCACGAGCCTGAAGTGGGCTGTCCTTGGGCCTGGGCACAGGCCAAGCCTGGCCAATAAATAGGGGTCTCTTTGGTGCCCTCAGCTGCTCCTGCCCACACCCTGCTCCGTTCACACGGCTGGCAGCAGACCCTGGACATCTGCTGGGCACCACAATGGCCTCTATCCGCTCGCTGTGGACGGGGCTGGTCGTGCTAGGAGTACTAGGTGTGCTGGGGGTCCTGCAGATGGGAGCCCAGGCCCAGGTCTCCATGCAGCCTGACTTCCAACAGGACAAGGTGAGGGTGCCCTGCCCTATCCCAAGGTAGTAGAGGTCTCCCAGCGACTGGCACTTCGGAGGGGTCTTCTCCCTGGGGAGAGGGTGCTGGCTTCCCTGGCCAGGCAGAGCCTGAGCCCAGCTGACGGGAACACAGTTGGTAGCTGCCTCAGGAGGTGACGCGGGCGTCTCTCCGCATCCGCGGACCTCACAGGCACGGGGCGGGCACACTAAGGTCTTGACACTCAGGTCGCAAGAAGCAGCGCTGTACTGCACAGACCCGAACGGCACGTGGAAGGCAGCAGACAGCGCCGAGCGCGAGGACGAATCCCGCACAGACACAGCCCCGCGCTCGCGCCCGAGCTGCGGGACTCGAATCCTTTCTGTCCCCTGGCTCCTCTGAGGGGCGCCAAAGCCAGTCCTCCAGGAAAGGAGCTCGGAGGTCGCTGGCTCTTCTTCTGGACCCAGACTTGGCTGCAGGGGAAGAGGCTGGTCCTGAGGGTCAGGGATGTGGGCAGGGCATCATGATTCAGGCGGGGTTTCTGGTGCCGGGGCGGGGCTTTGCTAATGGGGCGGGGCTTAGGTGAGGCGGGATTCTGGCACTGGGAGGAACTTCGCGGAGTGGGGCGGGACTTTGTGGAGGGCGGAGCTTCAGTGCCCCGGTTTGGAATGGGGGAAGCCCGCGAGAGCTGAGATGGGGGTTCACAGGGTCTCACCACTAGGGCACTGGTGTTGGTTCCCGCAGTTCATGGGGCGCTGGTTCAGCGCCGGCCTCGCATCCAACTCAAGTTGGTTCCGGGAGAAGAAGGCCACAATGTCCATGTGCTCCACTGTGGTGGCCCCCAGTGCGGACGGCGGTCTCAATCTCACCTCCACCTTCCTCAGGTGGGCGGGCATGCGGGCTGGATTCAGAGAACCCCTTCAGGGACCAGAGAACCCTGCCCGCTGTCACGGTCTGGGGACACTCTCCACTTAACCGGCGACGTGCTCGTGCCTGTAGGAAGGACCAGTGTGAGACCCGGACCATGCAGCTGCAGCCCACAGGGACCCCCGGCTCCTACAGCTATCACAGTCCGCGTGAGTGGGCACCACTCGTCCACCCAGGATGCGTTCCACTGACCTGGACCCCTGCCCGTGATGGCCTGTGCAGGTCATGCCTAGGGTCAGCCCTGAGTGGAACTGCCCTAAGTGCACAGTGGAGCAGGGACACAGGCATTCCCTCAGGGTCAGGGGGACAGAGTCCTGTCTGCACCCGATCTGTGTTCTGGCAGGCCTCTTTTCCACTTCCCCAAGGGAATTTTCCAGATCTCTGTTATGTGGGGCACAGAGCACCCTAAGTCCTGTCCATACCTCTTCAGTTCCCACACTAAGAGGCAAACCACCCCACTCCCATCCCCATTCTGGCCAGGAGTTTGTGACCTCAATTTTCTAAGCCTGGGCATTTCCTGTCTCCCAGTCCCTCTGGTCTGGGTTCACAGTTCCTGGGCACTGTGGCAGAAAGCAGGGAGGCAGCTGGTAGCCCTGCTGGGGAGGGACAAGGACGGCAGCCAACACAAGGGGGGCACCGGGGAAGGGAAGGGGGAGCCCCAGTTTCACGGCCCATGCCTGTCTCACAGAGGCAGCCCTTCCCCAAGCAGGGGTGGCTGGAGGCTTGGGGACCCCACCTGCTGCCTCTGTACCCAGGTTGGGGCCGCACCTCCTTGATCTCCGTCGTGGAGATCAACTATGATGAATATGCACTGGTGGACACCAAGGGTGTTGATCATGACTTCCGCATGGCCACGCTCTACAGTAGGTGCCCAGCCCTGGGTGGGGTTGGTACAAGACTAGGGCCTGGCCCTTGGGGTGGTCCCCAAGGCTAGGACCATTGAGGAGACCCCTCTTTACCCACCCAGGCCGCACCCAGACCCCGAGGGCGGAGCTGAAGGAGAAATTCTCCACCTTCTGTGAGGCCCAGGGTTTCACAGAGGATACCATTGTTTTCCTGCCACAAACCGGTGAGGGGAATGCTCTGCCAGAGGGATTAGGGTTGGATTAGAGATAGGCATCCTCAGAGTACACCCGCTGCTGGGAGGGGATGGCCTGCCCTGCCACCAGTGACCTGCTTGTCATTCTGTCCCCAGTCCTGTGACCTCTACCTGTAGGCCCCTCCACTGGGAGACCCCTCCTTGATGGACACCAGTACCTGGATACCAGAACCCGGCCTAGGGGGTGGGATGCCCATGGGGGCACCAGTGAAGACAGACCACTGCCTTCCTTCTGAGGAGCAGGGCTGGGGAGGTGTGAGGTGGGCCTGTGCAGTTTGGGGACTCAGCCAGACCAGGGCTGGCTCCAGGGCTTTGGGGGGAGGTTCTTCAGTGCTGGGGGACCAGGCAGCCCTGTGGAAATCTGGCTTGGCCTGGAGCTGACAGTGGACCCTGGGCTTCTTTCTTGACAGATAAGTGCCTGAAGGAGGAGGAATAGGTGAGTGACCCTGATCCATCCCGCGGATCCGTCCATAGGCCTCGCCTGGAGAGGGGACAGGGATGAAGGGCTGGGCAAGAGAAAAGAGAGACGGAGTCAGGATGAGATTCCAATCGAGTCTCATTTATTCATCAAGTGTACATGGCTTATATAGAGTCAATAGAGGACATGGCCTTACAGGATAGGCCGGCTTGGATCTCCTCATATGTCGTGGGCCTATCAGACCAGCAGGAAGTCATACGTAGGCACATAGGTAAGCAGAAGTGATGTCAACAAGAGGGGATTTATGGGAGATGTAGGCTGAAGCAGGAAGGTGCTTACGTCATGTGCATTATAGGCAAGGGGAGGATCATGGGAAATGTAGGCTGACACACACAAAATGCCCTCAGGTGGGAAGGGCAGGACAGCGGCACCCATTCCAAGCCACTCCCTGTATCTCCTCCCTTATTATTATATTTCTTAGGAGTATGGCAGGCCCTGGGAGGACAGCGCCTGTCTTGGGTCAAGGACTCCTCATATGAACCCAATCGAGCCTTACCCGTCGTGGGCCTGCAGGACAGCCGTTGGTCCTGGGCCTGTCTTAGGTGGTCGATGGTGTAACATATGTGTCCTAGTTGCCTGTCTCTGGCTGCCTGTCCAGTGCCTCAGGGCATTTGGCCGACATCATCATATGGGCCATTTGTGGGGATCATTTCCCGATAAGTTTGTCGATCTGCCATCTCTAGTTGATGATAGTGTACCTGAATGGGCTTTGCCATAAATTTGTCTAGCCTATTGTTAACGAGCATCATGATCCTCTGGAAATGCAAGGTTCTACAGTAAGCAGTAATAGCAAGGCGGCAAGGGGTCTCAAGAGGAGGGCAATGTAGGGGAAAAGACCCCCCCACATGGAGGAGAAGGTGGTTTGTCTGAGGCACTCTTTTTCTCTTTCTTTGAGGCGTTCCCTTAGCTTAGTCATGGACTCTTTGACAACTCCTGAGTGGTCGGCATAAAAACAACACTCTTCCTAGGGCAGCACATAAGCCTCCCTCCTTCATAAATAGGAGGTCTAGCCCTCTTCTATTTTGTAGGACTACCTCAGATAGAGACGTCAGGGACGCCTGTAGAGCCATCACAGATGTTTCTATTTCTTTTAAATCTTGATCTACTGCTGCCTGTAATTGAGCCAGATGCTGATTTCCCAACGCTGGGGCTGTAGTCCCTGTTCCTATTCCCATTGCGACTCCTAACCCTAGTAATACAGCTAAGGTGAGTGTCACAGGTACTCTCTTGTACATATATAGCCGGTCTGCGATGCCTGGAGGTAGTAGTCTCCTGGGTAGGTTATTCGAGGAAGAACCTGTACAAGAACACAAAAATCTGTAGACTTGTTAAAAACAGTGGTTGCTATACAGGGTGAGACGCCGAAATTGCAGGCCCAAGACGTTCCTGGGGGTGGAATGAGGTAATTATTTGGCTTGAACTCTGAATGAAGCTGGGCACAGAGTCGTGCTGCCAGTGCTGGTGGACGGCTGGAGTCTCCAAGACAGGTCCCTCTACCTGAGATGTCAGGGAGAGTCAGCTTGGGGTGATTGCCCCAGTCACAGGCAGATGAGCTAGAAGAACTGTTAAAGGTTAAATTGAGGGCCTCTCTTTCATAATGTGGGGGAGGAGCAGCCAAGCATAACCAAAAGGATTGGGTGAGATCAGGTTGGATATGATTTAAAGCCGTGTATGCCCCTTTAATCAAACTGAATAGGTTAGAATGTGAATATTGAGGGGCAGGTATGTGATCTACCTGGTGTGGAGGGGGGCTTGAGAAACGCTTATAATTGGGTGACTTACTGTGGTTGTTTGAACAGCAGTAACAGGATCTGTATTAGACTGATAGTATTTTGGATTTAGATTGTATTTTGGTTTTAGAGCAGGATTTGGGCCCACTGCGACAGGGGTGTGTTGTACTGGGGTTTTTAGAATTCGGATAAGGTTTCCATGGTCGTGGCCCTGTGCGTAGAAACGAATGCCCCAGGTACGCCCCGAAATCCAGCCTTGTTCTTGGGGTGTGGTGACATTGAGGGTCACATTTTGGCAGTTAGCATATTGGCGGGTGCCAAACCCCCATGTTATACAACCTTTTGGCTCATAGCCGAGCGTGACATGAGTGTCAGCGATTGGGGGAGACCAGCCAGATGTTACCACCGTTTCACAACCCCAGTAGGCACAAAAATAATGGCCTGGGGAGTGACAATAGGATCTTCCTGATGTTGGCGAGGGGCACATGTACAAAGGCTGTTTATGGCAAAAGTATCCTGAAGACATTGGAATGACATGACAGGGATCAAAGCGAAGGCTAGGGTTTCCAGATCCCTGCCAGGTAGTAATGGAGCGCCAGTCTCCTTGGAGCCCGTCCCATTTTTGGAGGGTCCATACCCAAGGTTGATGGGGATTACCATCCGTTGTGCACAGGTATAATCGTAGAAATCCGACGATTATCCATGAGATCTTTAGGTTTAGCATTCTCCTATAAAAAGAGCACAGAGAAAAAACCTCAGGGGCCACATCACCCCTGGGCGCTTGGGAGGCCCGCATTAGCTTGTCTGTTTGTTGTGTATCAACTTGTCTTATAAGCTGTTTGGGGAGCCATCTAGCTCCCTTTTCTTGGTGGGAGTAGACGCAAATGGAACCTCGTCCCCAGATAAGGACTGGATCAGGGCCATTCCTGTTTTGGTTAGGGGATCTCTCCATAATACAGATGCATATTGTGTTGTTGTCTGTGTGTGCCAGAAGCGAGATGCCGCTGAGCAACCTGAGGCATCCAGGGATAGAAAATTCAAAATAAAGAGAGCATGTGAAAGAATATTTCTAGGAGACCCTCGGGTTGGGTACCAGGTTTCTCCTTTTATTTTATCTATAGTGGATTTGAGGGAGTGATGTGCATGTTCAACAATATATTGTCCTTGAGGATTGTAAGGTATACCCGTGGTATGGAGAATATTAAGGCACTTACAAAATTTGGTGAAGGAAGTACTAGTATAGCCTGGGCCGTTGTCAGTCTTGAGCTGCTGGGGACATCCCAGAACTGAGAGAGCTGATAGTATATGGGTTATAATATGTTTAGTAGCCTCTCCAGTCTGGAGTGTGGCAAAGATGAAACCACTGTATGTATCAACAATTACATGTGTATATTTTAAGTTGCCAAATTCATTAAAATGAGTGACATCCATCTGCCACAAGGCATTGGGGATTAAACATCTTGGGTTGACTCCCAGATGTTGAACAGGCAAATGAACAGCACAAGAGGGGCATTTTTTTACAATTTGTCTGGCTTGTTCCCGAGTAATTTTGTGGAGCAGGCGGAGAGTCTGGGAATTGAGATGGTGTAGCTGATGAGCCTGTTGGGCCTCAGATATCTTGGAGTCATCTATAGGCTCAGAGTGGGCCATGGATACCTGTGTCCGTGTGGCAATGTCAGCCAAATGATTTCCCTGAGCAAGGGGACCCGGGAGGCCAGAATGAGCTCGCAAGTGGCCAATGAAAAACTTATGACTGCGAAGTCGGATCATGTCTTACAATCGTTTGAATAGGTCTGCAGTGGGGAGGCATGGCTTATAGTGGCGATGGTTTCTAATAACGGAACAGACTGGGCAAGGTAGGCACTATCGGTGAACAAATTGAAGGATTGGTTGAGGTAAGTGGTGAAAACTGCAAGGATGGCCTGTAATTCAGCCAGCTGTGCAGAAGAGGTGTCTGTCTGGTGGGTAAAAACATTGTCTTGAGCTACATAGGCAGCCTTGCCGAAGGAGGAGCCATCCGTAAAAAACACTGGGGCACCAGGAAGGGGCTGTGAAGCTGTAATTTTGGGGGAATATAAATGGGTGACAGCTGGCAAAATCAACTAATTTATTTGGAGGGTAATGGTTATCAATGGTCCCTGAGAAGGAGGCTATAGCAATAGGCCATGCCTCAGTGGTCTGGAGTAGCCAGTCCACTTGATCTTTGGTGAAGGGTTGAATGATGACATCTGGTTCCTTTCCAAAATAACATTTTCCAAGCCTTCTGCTTTGAATTATCAGGTCAGAGACTGCTTGGTAGTAAGGCAATAATACTCTCTTCAGGGAGACTGGCAGATGAAGCCACATAAGAGGAGCTTGTTGCCAAAATACTGCCGTGGAAGAGAGTTTTGTATTAAAAATAAGATATTGTAGTGGCCTATTATAATCTATGAAGGAGACAGTTTGTTGAGCGATAGCCTCTTCTACTGTATGGAGTGTTTTTCTAGCATTGGGTGTGAGCTCTCGGGGGGAAGCTGGGTCAATGTCTCCTCGGAGAACCTCATAAAGGGGTTGTAGATCATGTTTGGTCAATTTTAAATAGGGTAAAAGCCAATTAATATCACCTAGAAGCTTTTGAAAATCATTAAGTGTCTTAAGGCCATCAAGCCTTAGTTGAGGCTTTGGAGAAAACACCTAAGTGCCTTGTAACTGAAAGCCCAAATATGTATATGGGTCAGTAAGCTGGACCTTGTCAGGTGCTATTTGAAGCGCAGCATTTTGTAAGGCAACTTGTAGTGCCTGGTAACACTGTAAAGTCTGGTCTTGACTCTCTCCCGCCAAGAGGATGTCATCCATATAATGGGAGATATATATATTTGGCCAATGATCTCTAACTGGCTGTATTGCGGCAGCGACAAAAGACTGGCATAGCGTGGGGGAGTTAGCCATATCTTGTGGTAAGACTCGCCATTGAAATCTCTGCATAGGGGCTCTAAAATTAATTGATGGGAGACTGAAGGCAAAACGCTTTTGGTCATTTGGATGTAAGGGAATAGAAAAAAAGCAATCTTTAAGATCTATGACAATTTTAAAACATCCCAGGGGAATGGAACTGGGTGAAGGGAGGCCTGGCTGTAGGGGTCCCTTTAAGACCATGGTCTTATTTATTGCCCTAAGGTCTTATAGCAGCCTCCATTTCCCCGAGTTTTTTTGAATAACAAAGATAGGTGTGTTCCAAGGGGAATCACTAGGGACAATGTGGCCTGCATCTAACTGGTCCTGCACCAGCTGCTGTGTGGCTGTAAGCTTTTCAGAGGTAAGGGGCCACTGATCGACCCAAACAGGTTTGTCTGATAACCAGGCAATCTCTTTTGCATGGGCCACAGGAATGTCAATGGCCCCTATTGAAAATGGCCTAAGCCTGCTCTTGAAGGGTTTGGGGTTGGGGAAATAGGGACTTTAATACCTGAACTCTGTTTACCTAAACCTTGATTAGGAAGGAATCCCTGAGTGAGCATTTGTTTGGTGTCTATAGTATTAGGGCTGCCCATCATCATTCCCATTTGAGTTAACAAATCTCTGCCCCACAAGTTAAGGGGTAGCTCTTCCACAATATAGGGCTATATGTGTCCTTGATTGTTTTCTTTATCATTCTAGGTAAGTAGACTGGCACTACGTTGTGGATTTTTAGATTGTCCAATCCCTTGCAAATGCATCATAGTGGTTTCTAAGGGCCATGTGGGAGGCCAGTCCTCCTTTCTAATGACTGTTACATCAGCACCTGTATCTATGAGCCCTGAGAAACTTTTCCAGTTAAGCAACAAAGCCATAAGAGGTTTATCTTTGGAAATGAATTGAGCCCAATATATATCTGAGGATCCAAGGGAAGAATTTCCCCTATAGGAAGCCACAGCTGTGTTAGGAGTTTGGACTAAAGGCAATAGCACCAATTGAGCAATACGTTGTCCTTGGCTAATGGAAACCAGGCCAGAGATAGAGGATGCCATGACAATAATTTCACCAGTATAGTCGTTATCTATGACTCCTGGAACAACTTGTAACCCTTTCAATATTGTGCTGCCACGTCCAAGAACTAATCCACAAGTGTCCTTGGGAAGGGGGCCAAAAACTGTGGGAGGCAGATAATGCAGCCTCACCCTGAACAAGCGTCTCTGCAAACTGGGGATCTGCGTGATGTTGTGTCAGCAGCTCAGAGATTAAAGTCCAATATGAAAAAGCAGTTACCGGAACCTTTTCCAGGCCAAAAACCCCATAGTAGTCTTTGAGAGCATCTCCCACTCTTTTCCACCTATTTGAATCAATGGTGCCCTCTAGAGTGAACCATGGACGCACTGAATGTATAAACTGAAAGTACTGTAGCAAGTCTTTAGTCTTAACCTTGATCCCTCTAATCTTGAGTGCCTCCCTGAGGCCACTGACAATTCGTGTTCACTTAGTGCTTGCCCCATGCCAGTAGAGAAATAAGATCCGTTCACCTACCGTGATTCAGGTGAGACGTAAGGTGGCCCTCCGTACAGATCACAGAGACGAAGCCCTTGAATCAGTCACGCTGGCCAGGGCTTTACTCCAGTGAACGGTCCCGCGTCGTTATCCCTCGTGCCAGGTCAAGCCCCCACGTGGATGCCACTTGATCCCCGTCCTGCGGATCGGTCCGCAGGCCTCGTCTGGAAAGGGGACGGGGATGAAGGGCTGGGCAAGAGAAAAGAGAGACGGAGACTGTACATGGCTTGTATAGAGTCAATAGAGGACATAGCCTTATAGGATAGGCCGGCTTGGATCTCCTCATATGTCGTGGGCCTATCAGACCAGCAGGAAGTCATACGCAGGCACATAGGTAAGCAGAAGTGATGTCAACAAGAGGGGATTTATGGGAGATGTAGGCTGAAGCAGGAAGGTGCTTACGTCATGTGCATTATAGGCAAGGAGAGTATCATGGGAAATGTAGGCTGACACACACAAAATGCCCTCAGGTGGGAGGGGCAGGACAGCGGCACCCATTCCAAGCCGCTCCCTACATGATCCCCTCCTTTATATGTTCTACACATGTCCGCAAAGGAGGAGGGGCACAGGAGCCCCGAGCAGAGTGGAACTGTAGTGTGACTGTCAGAGAGAAAACCTGGTCCCAGCAACTGGAGTTGGGCCGATCCCCAAGGGATCATGGAGGAGGGAGACAGAGAGGGAGGAATGGGGTGGTGGGTACCAGGCTCCCTGCAGGCACCATCCTGCACTGAGGTCTCTGGCTCCTGGGCAAGGATCCTCAGGAGCCCAGCTGGGGAGGCAAGAGGAGAGTGGGCTGGGCAGGGAGGTCAGCGGGCTCTGCACTGGGGGATGTGGCATTGGTTAGATGGCAGAGGAGCGAGCTCTGGAGGCCCCAGTGGGGAGGCATGTGCTGGAAGCATCTGCTGGGCCCTGCACACGCATCCATCTGCTCTTCCCACAGGTAGTCCAGCCCTCGGGATTCCTCTGCTCTGCACCTTTCTCCGAGACCCCAGCCTGAGCTCCCTAAAGCCTCTGCACCTCCCACTTCACTGCAGACCTGAGAAATAAATGGAAGCAAGTCAGAGCCTGTGTCTGCCTGTCTGTTCTCAGGACCCCTGGACCACCCCAAACCCCTCCTGTAACATCTCTGTATGAAGTCACCTAAGGGGGCATCTGTTCCTGGTGGGGTCCTGAGCCAGGACAGCTAAGGGGCAGTATCTGTGCTCCCCACTCTGCACAGGGCCCTGACCTCACCATGGCACCCAGCACCTCACACTGTGGCTCAGTGACAGCCAGGCCTAGGCTGAGCTGGTGTGGTCATTTAGCAACTAATCCCCCAGGCACTACCACCCCCTGGGCAGGAAGGCCCAGGGCCCTTTGGAGCTGAAGGGGTTGTCAAACTGTGGGATTAGTGCTCTCAGACTGAGCAGAGGCCTGGGTCTGAGGGAACAAGGAACATTTGTTTGGAAGTTATAGACAATCTGTGGCCCCCACTAGGACAGAGTGACAGTGGACTGAGCTAGGCCACCCACTCCTCAGCCCCTTGGCTTCCACAAGACACAGCCTTGCCCCTCTCTGAGCTCTCACCACCCAGCTCTCAGCTCACAGGTGCAGATTGCCTCCAGATGGGCTTCTTGGAGGCAGGGCCTGGCTGTGGGGGCCAGCAGAGCAGGGCAAGTAAGTCAGAGGCTGCCAGGACCACCAGCCCCAGCTGCCAGGCAGAAAGCAGGAGCTGGTGGGATGGGCTGGGAGCTTCAGGGTGCAACCTGATCATAGCCTATCGTGTGGGCTGTGTCCCAGGCTACTGCCCCAGGGCACCTTGGGGACATAAAGGCCATGCAGTAGAGGTTGCCCCAGCTCTGCTGTGTGCTGGGACCCTGAGGAGCCTCACAATGCTGCCTGCTGTGCTGGCCACTGCTCTCCTTGCTTTGCTCCAGCTGTCCCATGGCCAGGGCCAGGTGCCCGTCCAGGCCAACTTTGACCCCACCAAGGTATGCCCACTCCTACTCACTGTCCTCAGGGGTGAACCTTCCCCGCCTGTTTCCCCACCCAAGGCTCTGATACTGGAGCTTCAGAAAGACCCCCCAGCACCCGCCCCATCCCAGGGGACATTCTGGGCCCCACTGAGTGGTACTTTCCACCACCATTGGGGCCTGCAGCAGGGTGAACAGCAGCTGCCCTGACCCCTGGCCAGATATGGTGGGCTTGCCCAGAAGTAGGGGACACCTCCCAGCTGCCCTGCCCTTCCTGCAGTTTCAGGGCCTCTGGTATATAGTTGGGGCTGTGACAGACAACCAGGGCTTCCAGGACTCCAAGGACAACATGAAGATGCCCATGGTCTCGGTGACCTCGTTGAGCAACGGTGACCTAGCTCTCAAGTTTGGGTACCCCACATAAGTGACTCCCCAGGCTCAGCTCAAATTTGGCCTCAAGTGAAGGCCAGTGTGAGGTCACATGAAGATCAGCAGGAACCAAGGTGACCCTGACATCTCAGGGGGACAGACCATGGCTCCTGACAGCCCATGTTGGGTCCACCTGGTCCTCAGTCAGCCCGAGGCCATGCAAAGCCCATCTAAGGCCTGGGTATCACTGTGCGTCAGTGTGTGTCTGCACGTGGACATGGCATGCATGTGTTTGTCTGTGTGTCTTGGTGTCTGTAGAAGGTTTGTTTGGGTGGCCAGGGGGCTGGGAGACAGGAAAGAGAGCCAGGGGTGGCTGCTCAGGTGTGAGGTCCCCCCAGGCCCAATGGCGGATGCCAGAAGATAGAGACAACCTACACCAAGGGTCTGATGGATGGGCAGTTCAGCAACTCAGGTGAGGCGGTGCAGACTTGGAAAGCCAGGTGGTCAGTGGGGTTGTGCAGACCTCAACTGTGCCCAGAGTCTGGGGGCGGGGCATCTGGGGTGGGGCGTCCAGGACAGGAGGTCCAGGGCAGCTTAGACTCTCTGGCTCCCTGCCATGGCACAGTCCGACATCCTCATGGCCTTCACTGACTACGAGCACTTCGCGGTGACGTACTTCGAGACGCAGAAGGCGGGTGCACGGAACTTCTGGCTGCAGCTCTACGGTGCTGCCGTTAGAGCAGCACGGTGGAGAGGGGCTGCCGATTCCCAGACTCCAGGCACCAGCCGCTTCCTGGAGCTACCTGGGTCGGGTTGGGGTGTTGCTGTTCCTTGTGAGTGGGACCGTGTCTCCGTGTGTCCCCTGGGGACTCCGGGTCTGTGGTAGAAGGGTCTGGCTGCACCCAAGCCCCTCTCGGTCCCTGCCCCTCTGGACTCACCTAACCTCCTGCTCCCAGCCCGCACCCCAGTGCCTTTTCCTGAAGGTGCCCAGAAAATGCAGCAGCTGGTATCTCAAGTGGGCCTGAACCCCCACCAAGGCGCTCTGCTGCCCAAGTCAGGTAAGCACTACTGCCTGCCCCAGCTCCAGGCCGTGGGAGCTGGGGGACCCCAGAGCAGACTGGCAGGGCCAGGCCCCGTGGCTTACTGCACTGACCCTAGAGTGGGATGGAAGTGCCCAGGTGGGGTGGCTGCTGGGAGGGTGGGGTAAGGGGGCATGAGGGGTGTCTAAGGCCATTCTCTCCTACAGAGCAGTGTACTGGCTTGATGTCCCAGGTGAGTGCCCTGCAGATGAGGTGATTTGCAGAATGGGAATCCCCATGGGGTGGGGCTCCCATGAGTAGAGCTTCTCATGGGGTGCTCCCCCTTGGGCCAGAAGGAGGCTGGGAGGGCTGGGGACCAGAGCATCCAGGCCCTGGCCAGGGACACTGCCAGGTCCCTGCTGCTTGTTTTGCAGTGATGGATCCAGGTCCAGTGCTGGCAGGGGCTGAACCACTCTGTATCCTCTGCAAAAAGCACCCTGTTTCTCTCTCCAGCCCCACAAACACAATAAATGGTCTTGGAGAGTCGTCTGAGGTGTGCTTTTTCTGGAGGGGCATAGTGGGTGATGGGGTAGCCTGGGACAGAGGTGCCCATGAGAGTGGCTGAACCCTAACTCCTAGGGCCCATGGCCCACCAGAGCTGAGTCCCTTTGAGCACAGCTTGGAACCACCCATGAGCGCCTTCCTTGGCTTCCTGGGCTGGAGGGAGAGGGGCCAGGGTCCACCAAGCTGGTCCAACACACATGCACTTGGGATGTGGCAGCCACTGGTGATGGTTTGGGTCTTTGGGGTCCTCCAAGGGCAGCCCAAAGCCTGGTACTGAACAGGCTACTGTGTGGCTGGGAGACCTCCTGGTCCTCCAGTTTCCCAATTCTGACTCGGTGTAGCACCCCTTCCTGAGCCCATTACATGTCCCCTTGCCTGTCATACAGAGCCAGCTACATCACCCCCAGCTCGGCCACTCCAAGAGCAGCTCCCCCAGCCAAAAGCACAGGAGAAGACTGGAGGGGCGCTCTGAAAACTTTGTGCCATCATGTTTACAAAGGGCAATAGTCTTGTTTAAGGCCTTTCCCCAAAAGATCTGAAGGTAAAATGCAAATGTAAATGGTTTGGCAAGAGATGGTTTGGCAAATGTAAATGGTTTGGCAAATTGTAAGCTTGTCAAAATACTGATACGTCTTCCAGTTGGGGGTTCATATGCTATGATCTCGGTTGGAAATTTTTTACGAAAAAGTACAATCTTCAGGGACTGGGGATTTAGCTCAGTGGCACAAGCACCTGCCTGGCAAGCACAAGATCGTGAGTTTGATACCCAGTACCAAAAAAATAAAAACAAACAAAAATTAGTCTTCGCTTGCTGACCTCTGCTCCTGATTGGGGCTGAGAGGTCACAGGGATGGTGACCCTCACCTTGCGGCTGCCTGGGCCCTGCGATGAAAGGTCCTGCCACCTGGGCACCTTGTGCTGAGCCTCATGCCCCAGAGGGCCAACAGCTGAGACACACTGGGCTCCAACTGCCACTTACCCCATCCCTGGGTCCACTCCTTTTCTACAGGACCAGGAGTAGGGACAGAAGGTGTTGCCTGGCCAGCAGCAGGGATTATGGGACAGCTGTGTGCTCTGCCCTCGTGGGGCGCTGGTCCCCACCCACCACTCCAGCATTTTCTGGAATGGAAGTTTGGGCTGCCTTCCATAGTCTCCGGGACCCTGCCCTTCAAGGATGAGCACCCTCTGCAATTGAGTTTATGATTTACTGTGTCCTGCACCACCATTCTCTGGCCACACGGGACAGCCCTCAACCGCTTCTCCACCCAGAAGCCGCGGGGTGTGTGTGTGTGTGTGTGTGTGTGTGTGTGTGCAATATTTAAAAACTGTCAATTGTTTTTTTTAAAAAAACCTGTCAATTCTTGCCCTGAGCTCAGAACCTCGACCCTCTCTGAAAGTCAGATCAAAGTCCCCAGCATAGTCAGATGACAGGCCTGTGACATGCTTTCCTCAGGCACCACCTTCTACGTGTACCTTTCCAGTTCTGCCCTGGGGCCTTTGCACAAGTTGTCCTCTGCCTGGAATGCTGTCCTCCTACCCATCCACCTAGCTCACTCCTCTCCTCTGCAGTCTTTAGCTCAAATTCCACCATGCTTGGATCCTTGACCTTGGGAACTTCAGACCCTGGCTGTCTCCCCAATCTCTAGCTCATCTGGAGGTCACCAGCCAACTCCCTCCCTGGTTTTGGCCAGCCTTGCTGCTTTGCCACAGGACCTTGTCTCTGGGCTGCCTGAGCCATTTAAAACTAAGGAAGACATGACAACCAGAAGGAAGTCATAGGGGAGATCACAGGGAAAATGCAAGAGCCGGTTGTTGGGCTGTCCCGGGTGACTGGCAGGATGACTAAAGTGGAACGTGCTCATACAAGACCCGCAGGACACTTGAGTGTTGACTCAGGAGAGGGGGCTGGGCTGGGCGGCCGCTAGAGTGCTCCACGAGGCCTGTCCTTGTGAGCATGAAGGCAGCAAGGATGCAGGGCTCGAAAGACTGTGCAGAGATTGGGGCAGGAGCCTCGACAGGCAATGGAGGCAATGGAGCCAACAAGTCCTTGGCCGTCCTGCCTGGGTCGCCCTCTTTCGGTGCCCTGGCCTGACCCCTCGTGTGCGCCCGGTCCCCTGGGTCCCCTCGCCTCTTCCTGCCCAGGCCACAACTCAGCGGCAGCTGCTGCAGCTCAGAACCAGCCCGGCTGCGGCTCCTGCCAGGCGGGTCCCTGAGTGCCAGGGTCAGAGCCCTGGGCGGCAGGCCGGCGTCCTGAGGTTGGGACCACACGGGCCCGAGGCCGCCCTGTGTCCCTCCTTTGGGTTTGGGCTCCTGGCCCTTGGGCCGTGGGAAGGTCTCCAAAGCAATGTGAGCTTCATGGGGGAGACGAGCGGCCAACAGCTCGGGACCACAAGAAGGAACCCCGGACTCGGCAGAGACAAGGGTGCAGACGGGGGGCCCGCAGAGAATTCTGCGTGGCTTCGAGGGCCAAAGCCAAGGTTCCACCGAGGAACCCACACCCGGTGAGGCCAGCCTGCACCACTAGCAGATCACCCGCAGGCCCCGCCCACACGAAAGCCCCGCCCACAAAGCCCGCTGTTAGTCTTATCAGCCCCGCTTGGGGCCAGACAGACCTACGCCCATCTCGCGCAGGCGCTTTAAACCCCACGTCCCGCCCGCCCTTGACCTCGGAGGCCGACCTTCTGCGCAGGCGCGTCGGGCCTGGCGCGGGACCAGGGCCTGCACTCGAGCTGTCATCATGGTCCCGCCGCCACTGTCCCTGCCGCTCTGCACGCTGCCTCCGGGCCCAGGACCTCCCCGCTTCGTGTGCTACTGCGAGCCAGAGAGTAGCGAGGCCTCGGGTCTCGGCGTCTTCCACCTCCAGTGAGTGAGTGGGGTCCTATTGGGGTGGAAGCGCACCCCGGCGACTGCGCTTGACGCCCCCTCTCCCCAGCGTGACAGACGGCGCGGAGCTCTGGAGCGCCCGCCTCCCGCCGGACAGCGAGGCCGCACGCGTGCGTACCGGTCCTGGGTCTCGGGCGTCCCGGGGCGCGCGGGTTTTGGGATGAACCCCGGGGACCCGGACAGCTGTTGACGAGGCTCTGTGCCCGCAGAAAGCCCGTTGCGGCCTGGATGTGGATGAGGACCTCGCCGCGCGGTTCAGGTGAGCGCGGGTCCCAGGAGATGGGGTAGGGATTTGTCCGCTGGGGACCTAGGGCCGGGCACCAGCACCCAGTTCTCTCCCCAGGACCGCCTGCCAGCAGCAAGCCATCGCCCTGAGCCTGCGAGAGGACCGCGCATCCCTGACTCTCTCCGGGCCTCCCTCCACGCTGACCTTTGACCTCTCCAAGGTGCCCAGCCCCGAGGCAGCCCCCAGGTTGCAGGCGCTGACCCTGGGCTTGGCAGAGCGCGTGTGCAGCCTGGAGCAGCGCCTGGCAGGTAGGGTCTCTGAGGGCACCTGCACCCTCACTGAATCCCTGCCGGTGTGTGCTGCATTGCTGACAGTGAGTGCGGTGCTCTCGCTTTCTCCCCAGCTGTGGAAGAAGCAGCCATCAGTCCCAGGAAGAGCCCGCGGCCAGCAAGGCCTCCACTCTTCTTACCAGGTGAGATGTGGACCTGGGGCGTGGAGCTGTCTCCACACAGGCCATGAGACCCAGAGCAGGCTGTGTCTATGCAGAGGGGGTTGTGGCTGGGTGCTGCTGAGTCCAGCAATCCCACATTGTGTTTCCCCAGACCATGATCCCCAGCGAGGCAGCCCTGGAGCTGGGGTCAGGAGACGGTGTCCAGGGGAGTCCCTCATCAATCCTGGCTTCAAGAGGTACTTGCCCACCTGCCCCTCCTCACTTGGACCCTGCCTCTTCTGGCACTCCCCCACTGCACTACCTTCTTCCCTCCCAGCAAGAAACCGGCCAGTGGTGTGGACTTTGATGAGCCCTAAAGGAACACCAAGACACCAGGCCTGTGGAGGAGTCTGCGTGGGAAGGGACACTGCCCCAATGGGCTCACCCTGCTGTGTTGCTGGTCCCATGTCCTTCCTAGCCATCAAATAAACAGTTCTGTCAGGTGGAGGCTCTGGCTTGGGACTGAACTGGGGAGGGGACAGCGAGCTCCCTTGAGGTGCCCCTGTGGGCACATCCCTAGGTGTAAACAGGTACACCAGGCTCCTTGCTCCTGGTGAAGGCTCCTTGGCTGGCCAGATCCACCCAGCTATTCCTGCATGTCCACCCCTGGAGCTGAGGAGTTGGCCAGGCATGGCCAGAACATCTGGGGCTTGGACCTCTGCCGCACCCTTCCAGGCCCTGCCCAGGAGGCCCAGACCTCTGCTGCCCCTGCGACCATGCTAGAAGGGGACTGGCACAGCCTGCAGCCAGGCCCAGGAATGTGAGCCTGCACCACCCACATGGCCAAGCTGGGCAGGGCTCTGATTCGTACCTTGCTTGGCCATACCTTTTGCTCCACCCGCCTGGCCTGACTGGTTTGGGAGCTCCATCCAGTCCCCTAGATACTGGGAGCATCGCCTCTCCGCCTCTCTCTTCTGTGCTGGGTGCTCTGGCTTCCGCGTGGGAGGCTGCACCGCGCCCCTGCCCCCGGGCTCATGGCTTCGTCATTCCCGAATATCATCTTGACCTGAGAGTCCCGTGGTGGGCGCCTAGGTGCAGTAACGTGGGCCTCTGGCCCCTGAATGTCAGAACACATGTCTGTCACTGGGGGCAGAGAGCCTTTATAAAGGGGGCGGGCGGGCGCTAGCGGGGCCGCACCGCGGGCCTGTAGGCGGCCAGGATCTCGGCGTTGTGCGGACACGTGTACTTGAACTCCTTCTCCTGCAGCGCGCTGTCCAGATAGCGACGCACGGCGCGCAGCTCGGCAGGGATGGGCGCTCGGCGGAAGTGCGCGCACACGGTCTATGGGGAACGCGGGTGATGCGGTCGCGCCCCGCGCCGCGTCCCTACCCGGCTCCCCGCCTCCCAGTCCCCGCCCGTGCTCACGTCTACGATATGCAGCTTGGGCAGCAGGCAGCAGTCAGCCAGCGAGAGCTGGTCCCCGTCCAGAAAGCGGCGGCGGGACTCCCGCAGCTGCGGCTCCTGCGCCAGCTCATGCTCCAGCGGCGTGCGCAGGTAGCTGTCCAGCCTGGCGAGCGCGCGCAGCAGCTGCTGGTACAGGGCTGGGGGCGGCGCGCGCTGTCAGGACCCGGCCCCCCGCGTGGCGCGGTCAGGACGGGGTGCGAGGTACGCCCTCCCCCGCCCGACTCTAGCCTCACCGTCGTCCTGCGCCGGCGCGGGGTTCTTGATGAACGCGGAGAACTTGTGGAAGATGTCGTTGCCCGCCGTGCTGGACTCTAGGTACCGCGGCACCAGACTGGGGAAGCTGTGAGGCCGTTGACATGAGGGCCCCGCCCAGACCTCTGCGCGCCCCCATAGTACCACATCCCAGGCTCTGTCCTCTGGCGACTTCCCTGGGACCCCACCCTGCCCCTCCCACTCATAGTCCTCACTCGGGTGGCCCCAGCGTCTCCTCCAGAAATTCCTCGATCTGCAGTGTGTCTGTCTTGGCGTCCCCGTTGTAAAGCAGGATGGGCAGCTGCGAGCCTGGCGCAAAATCCTTCAGCACATCCAGCGCCCTGTGGACACCAGGTGGAAGGGAAGTGGCAGCTCCAGTTGGGAGGGGCAGGGGGCAGGGTCTGGTCAGGGTCTCACCTGCGCGTGTCCACAGTGGTGAGAGTGAAAGGCACCCCCTTGAGGAGGAGGACCATGAAGAGCCGCTGGCAGGATGGGCAGTGCCCTATGCTCTCTCCGTCTTCGCTGGCCTGGGCAGGCAGAGCGGGCAAGTGGGGCTGGGTGAAGACCCTGGAATCCTGCTGTCTGGCTGAGGGAGGCCTCTGGCTGCCATGGAACTGGAGCCATACCAGGGTCCTGCTTGGCCCTGCACAGCCTGTGTCCGGTAAGAGCCCTTGACTGTGCTCCTTAGAGGCAGGGAGGGGGTGGGCAGCTGGGAGCTGCCCTTTGGAACCTATCTCAGAGCCCGGACACAGGTCAAGGCACTAAGCCCTGTGGTCGGCTGCAGGGACAGGGTGGGCCTGGCCAGCTGCTTTCTGAATGATTCACCCACTAAGCTGGGTACCGTGGCTGGCAGTACTCGGCTGTACCAGCTCCGAGGTAGTAAGGGAACAGGGCCTGGCAGCCCCCAAACACACATCTGGACACCAACCTAAGCAAGCAAGAGGTCTGCTTGATCCTGAACCTGGCTGCTACCTCCCCACTAAGGGGCTGTTCACCAGGAGAGCAGGTTGGGCCCCAGAGCCAAGGCTGGAGTGTGTCCGGGCTGCCTAAGACCTCTTGGAGTGACTGCCCAGAATGGCTCACCCTGTGCCTGGGGTCTTTGGGGCTGCTGGAACCTACTGCAGGGGAAGGGCTCAGACCACCACCCAGTACCTCCCCCAACCCCACCGGCCCAGAACCTTCACAAACAGCTGGAGCTTGGCGGGTTCTGCCATGGCAAGAGCTCAGTTGTCCGACCTGGCGCAGGGCACAGGGCGGGGCCCTTGGAGCTCCTTAAATCTTCCTGGGCACCCCGCCCAGGCTGACCTGGGCCCCGCCCCGTGGAGCTACCCGGACAGGCAGAGAAGCCTGTCTGGCCGCACAACTGACTGCGGGCTGACTGCAGGAGTGTGGGGAGCCTGAGCCTGGGTGTCCCAGTGTGACCATGACCATAGGGCCACAAATCTTGGAGGCCGGCTGGAGATGTGCTGGGCTGCCTGCACCCAGACTGAGGCCATTGTGAGCATGCGGGGGCAGCCATTGTGCTGGGCTCTGACAGATGAAGAAGCAAGGAGATTGGCCTGAGGGACATGGAGGCAGCACTGGCCAGGACACCCCAGGACCCCAGCTCAGGCCCTGCCCCACAGCCTCCCTGCAACCAGTGCCGAGTATCAAGGGCCCAGCCCAGTAAGGCCGGGAGGGGGCCACTGCCTCAGTGTCCCCTTCAGAGCCATCCCAGAACATAGTCGGGCTAAAGCCTACTGAGAAGAGACACCCTCCCACCCTGGCTGTAGGGGAGCCCTTCCGTGGGGGCCCATATTCCACACAGTCCTTTGCTGCGGCTGATAAGCTGGCACTGGGGCTCAGAGCCATGCAAGCACAGAGGCCACCCTCACAGCCCATCCACCTGGGGTGTCAGGCAGGGGTCCCACCTGCCAACTTTGGGGAGCACCCAGAGGGACAGAGACACCATGCTGGGCCTGGGCTGGGTGAGGCAGAGCAGGTGGACTTGGTCAGATCTTCCACCACCTGCCAAGCTCCTCTGCCACTGGGACCGCGGCTTGGCATTTCCTCTAGGTGTCCGTCCAGCCCTGGTGGGGGCAGCTGCAGGGGGTTTGTCTGGGCCCGGGGTGCCTGCAGAGGCCTGGTGCCATCCTGTGGTCACATGAGGGACCAGCCTGGCCACCTTGGCCTCCCTGGGTTGGGTGCCTGTTGACTCCTGACCACCTGCCCTGCCTGACTCTTGGCCAGAGACCCTGGCCAGCATCAAGGCCCTATCCTGCTCTGACCAGCCCCTGCCTGGACCCCATCTTGGTCAGGGTCCCGGACACTGGCTGGTTCTCCCTGGAAGCCTCAGTTTCTCCTTCATCCCACCTTCCCCTCAGCACCCAGGGCCAGAATTACAGCTGCTTTTGTTGATGCAGTCAGGGTGCCAGCCCACTGGTGTCCCTGGGAGGCAGACTACTGCACGGAGAAACTCAGAGGTTTCCACACCTGGCAGCATCCGAGGCACTGTGCAGGTCCACAAGGACAGTGGGGAGGGTTGGGACACACAGGTGGCTCAGGGAAAGGAAACAGAGCGATGAATGCCTGATGTCTCTCTCATGCTGGTTCCAAGAAACAAAAGTGTGGTTGGAGGGAGGAGGACCACGAGTTAAAGCCACATGGCCTACACAGCAACCTAGCAAGACCCTATCTCAGAACTCAGACAGATTTTTAAAAGGAATGGGAAGGCAGCTCTGTGGTGAAGCACCCCTAGAATCCCATGCCTAGTACTACAAAAGAGTGGGGGAGCCAGCTCCATCACTGCAGCCAGCAGAGACATGATCACACTGTCATGTTGTGTCCCCAGCCACCTGGGCTGGCCTAGAGAGTCCCTACTGCAGCATTTGTGCGCACTGTCCCACTGATGGCACAGCTGGGCATCACGTTCCTGTCCAGGGGAGGCTCCCAGTGTGTCCATGGCAGGTGATGGGGCGGGGCCACTTGTGCCTGCCATGGGGGACTCTTAAGTAGCACTGCTGACTGAGCGTCCCCCCAGGAGCCTCAGCATTAGAGTCCTGACCCCAGGACCTCATGCCTGAAAGGGACAGTGTTACCTGGATGTCATGCTGAGGTGGCCTGTACCTCCATACTGTGTGGCCTTATGAAAAGAAGAGTTTAGGGGTCCTGGGGCAGGCACCTGCTCAGCTGGCATGAGCAAAGCCTGTGATTTGGAACAGAGTTCCTGAGGTTGGCCAGAGCCCAAGAAGCTGGCACAGGTCTAGGATATCCTCCCAGGGCCCTCGGGGAAGGCTGCCTGCTGGGCCCTTGTCGCTGACGTCCGACTTCTGGGACTGCAGCAGAGTACGTGGCTGTGGCTCTGTGTCGTGCTGTGTGTGGCAGCCACAGGGAACTGGTACACAGAAGGAGGGGTTGCGAAATCGAGGCAGATGTCTTTTGTGTGCAGCTGTGGTCTTGAACAGGAGCTACCTGTTCAAGGGGACCTGTAGTGGACTGGTGACTTAAACAGCAGCTGAACTGAATCAGTGTGGTGCTAAGTGTGGATGGCCCACCTGAGGGCTGCTGCCAGCATGCAAAGGAGCCCGGAGAGGAACAGTGGCACTGTGAGTTCTCCTAAGTGTTGCCGTTGTCTGGAGCCGCTGGCTTTTCTGGAGGAGCTCGTCATGCTGGCTCCCCTTATACGAACTCGGCTATTATCATCAGAGGAGCTCGGGACCTTGTCACTGAGAATGACTGTGGTTCACTTTGGTCCTTACTTTGAGTGTTGCTTCCTGGCTCCAGAGCAGATGTCTGCTATTTAAACTCCAGGAGAAGATTGTCATGCTGGCTTCCTGATATGTATTCAGCCATTCTCATAGTCAGAGAAGCTCAGGACCTATTGTTGCTGAGAATGGCTAGAGTACTTTTCATGGGAGCCCTGGTTCTTATTTTGAGCATCATTTCTTGGCTGCAGTATAGAACCCTCAACCTACTGGCAAAGATCCTTCACCCTGCTGGCACAGACTTTCTAGCTTCACTGCTGCCTCTGGGCCTTCTCAGAGCAGATCTGTGGGAAAGACTCGCATGGGTCATTATCATGGGCTTTGGGTCTTCAGCTGAACTTATGTAGGTTATTGCCATGAGATGCAGGCCTTCTGAAGGATTTTCTAGGTCTTTAGTGTTGTGGACAGATTTCCTGCACTTTCTTTGTAGCTGACTCCGTGGGTGACTGTTATAAACAATACTATAAATATAACTATATATATATAAATACTATAAATAAACAATACTATAAATTATGCATCCTGTGTATAATTGTTCTCCTTGTAACCCCTGCCTACAGCAGGACCCCAGCATGTGTACAACTCCCACATTCTGTCCTCCACATTTGTGTTGAGAGTGAACATTCAAAGATACCAGGATAGGCTGGGGCGACTAGGCATTGCATTCACCTGTCACCTACGAGGCCCTCAGCTTCACCCCAGCACACACAAATGAACGAGGACAGAAATTCACTGCCACCAACCTCGACTGCACTCACAACCAACCTGGCTGGGAAGGACTATTTCCCAGCCTCCCACTGCTCTGCAGGCCCAGCTGCCCTCCTGGGGCCTGGGCCAGCTCATCTTCCTGTTCATCTGACTGAGCTCCCAGGGGCCACTGGTCCAGGACTCACTGATGCCTCAGAAGTTCGCTCTCAGGCAGCCTTCCCAGAGTTGTTATTCATTTATTTAGCAAAGGCTTCCTTTTCCTCATCTCTTCTTCCTTCTCCTTGCAGTACTGGGGATGGAACCCAGACCCTCACACGTGCTGGGCAGTTGTACTTCCACCAAGCTTCGACCCCAGCCTTTTTACCTTCTTGTTTACTTTGAGAGGGAGTCTTGCCAAGTGGCTCAGGCAGGCCTCAGACTTGGAACCTTCCTGCCTCAGCCTGCCTCAGCCGTGACACGTCATTGCCCCAGGCCCTAAGCCCTGTCACTGATTTTTATTTTTTTTCCCTGAGACCTTTTAATGGTGCCTTGCCTTAGGGAGACACTGAGCTGCTGCTGTGGGGGACCCACGCTGCTGCATGCTGGCAGGGTGCTTGCGGGTGCTCCCGAGCTCTGTCCACAGAACACCCAGAAGCAGCCCCAACCCCAGACCCTTTTCCAAGGCAGCCCCAAAAGAGCAAGGACCCTTCCCTGGCCTGACTGTCCCTCGGGGCTTGTGTGGTGAGATCCTCACCCCAGGCTCACGGAGCCTTTCAAGGGGTCACATCCCCAGACGAGGGGCCCCGCAGAGCTCTGCCTCCTCACATAAACATTACATATATTTTGCCACAGTAAAAAAGTTTTTTAACTGTTTTTTTTTTTAACTGTTTGTTTCCTCTCCAAGTCCATTTTATTTTAAGGGCAAAAGAAAAAGAAGAAAAAAAGTAAAACAAAATTTCGAAACACGTCAATTAGGGCCACAGTAAATATTTCAAGAGGTTGTTTCTTTATTGGTGGTGGAACAAAGGCCTTCAGGGCGTCTCCAGCCCTTTCTAAAACTCACTTAAACTTGGTTTTTTGGTTTTTGAGTCAGGGTCTCACTCTGCAGTTCAGGCTGTCCTCAAACTCTGTGTGTACCCCAGGCTGGCTTCGCATGCCTGTCCCCAGCTGGGGTACAGCAAGCTGAGGGAGAAGAGGTAGAAAGCAAGCAAGGAGCTGAAGCCCGAGGGAGAGGGAAGAGACATCGCAGGAAAAGGCAGTGGCAGGCAGCGCTTTCTTCCCGGGCTGACTTGCTGCTGGGAGTGGAGGCTCAAACCTGCCCAGTGACCCCAGAGGCCTCCACGGAGACCCAGCACAGAGCGGAGCAGTGGACACAGTGGGCTCTGGTGGCTGGTGAGTTATTCAGGTTAGGACCCCCCAGGATTGGTGGGGAGCCTCCTTGGAGAGGAGCCTGAGCTCCTCTGAGCCTGAGCCCGGAACACGGAGCAGCTGCAGAATCCACTTGGCAGCTCCCAATGTCAGGCTGAGGCGAACCGAGTTCAAGCCAGCAGGAGTTACAGCAGGCTGGACAACTGGGGCCCAGACTCAGCCGGAAACCAGCCCAATCTTCAGTGGGATGAGAGGTTCTGCCGCAGCTACTGCTGGCTTTCTGGGGTTCATCAGCACCGATCCAGGTTCTGTCTGCCCACTCTGTCGACCAGTGATGGCAGAGACACATGTTGAAGTGAACTTTTCTTTTTCTTTGTTTTGTGACTTCTTGGTTGTCTGCACTTATTTATAGGCACATGAACACTATTACTAGTTTTGTTATTCTGCTCTGTTCTTATTTCCTCCTCTCATGTGATCCTCCTTTGTCCTCCACCTTTGCTTCTCATCCCTTCTTCTTCTATTTCTCTTTTTCCTAATCCTTTCTAAATTTTTTCTAAATTTTCTGAGGGTAAAATTGCCACAAATAGAGTTTATATGGTTAAAAGTGGCAAACAGTGTCCTATTCTAGACTGTGTGGTGCTGGTGTTGGTGCTGACTGTATTACCCGAGGTGGCATACCTGGGATGCCGACACTGAGACTGCCCAAGGGTCATTAACAAGATTCCAGATCAGCGCCAAAGAACCAGGGGCTGGGCCAAGTAAACAGCAACTTCTCATCCCCAATAAACTGAGGAGTAGGGTCTTGAAACAGACTAAAACTCAAAAGCCAGCTACATGTGGAAGACAATTCTGAGAAGTAGTCTTTCCCTAAAGGATCTAAATACCAGCAATAAAGCTACCTTCCATTACAAGCATCAACCAAGGAATTAAACTTAAAAAAAAATTAGGAAATGCAAAGACACAGAAGCAAGATGCAGCTCCAGACTGCCAGCTCCCCAGAGCCCAGGACAATGAGGTGGCACAGTCTGAAAAGCCACACAACAGATGAATGAGGCTCTAGAAAAGAAATCAAATCAGAAATAATTTCTCAGATAACTACAGCGATGGTGACCATATTAAAAGACAAGGTTAGGGCTAGGGGTTTAGCTCAGTGGTATAAGCACCTGCCTAGCAAGCCCAAGGTCATGAGTTCGATCCCCAGTACCAAAAAAAGAAAAAAAGAAGGTTAATGATGCTAGAGCAAATATAGATTTAAAAAATAGATGAGGGAACTGGGTGTGGTGACACACACCTATAATCTCAGCATTTGGAATGCTGAGGTGGGAGGATTGCTGCAAATTCAAGGCCAGTATTGGATACATAGTGAGCTCAAGGCCAGCCTGAACTGCATAGTGAGGCCCTGTCTCAAAAACACCAAAAACAAAAAAACAAAACAAAACAAAACAAAACACCAAGATTACAAAATTGATAAAAATCATAAATGCCCAACATAAAGAGATGGACCTTGCAAGACCATGATTGTGAGTTCGATCCCCGGTACCGATTAAAAAAAAAAGAGAGATGGAATCTATGACATAGATTCAAACAGAAATCCAGCAGGTTAAAAATTCCATTGAAAGTATGTGCAGCAGAATGAGCCATGTGAGGTTAGAGTATCAGATATTGAACACAGGATTTTGGTTAGTGATCATGAAAAGGAAGATTTCTTAAAAACAGCAAGGCATCATGAAACATCAATACAGCAGATGCTGATGATACAAAGGAGAATACATAATCTTGATCAGAGTCAATGAAAAGCAGGAGATAGCATAAGTATAATAAACCTGTTCACAAAAGTATTTGCAGAAAATCTTCCAAGCATGGAAAGAATTTAACATTTAGATAAGAGAGGCATATAGAACTCCAATTAGCAGTGAAAAAAAAAAAGATTCTACACCAAGATATATAATAGCCCAGATTTCAGAAATTCACTACACCTAGGTGTGATGGTGCCCACCTGTAACCCCAGCACTCAGGAGGCTGAAGCAGGAGGATTGCTGCCAGCTTGAGCCCAGCCTGGGTTATGTAGTAGGTTCAAGGCCATTCTGAATTACATAGTGACACATTGCCTAAAATAAATAAAATAAATCCTATGCAAGAACAGAATACTAAAAACTGTTGGAGGGCCAGGGATTTAGCTCAGTGGCATAAGCACCTACCTGGCAAGCATGTGATATGAGTTCAATCCCTGGCACCAAATAAACAAATAAATAAAGCTGATAGGAAAAGAAACAAATTGTCTATAAAAGAAAACCCATCAGAATTACAGCAGACTTCTCAACACAAACCCTCAAGGTAAGGACAGCCTGAAGTATTTCAAGCCCTAAAAAAACTAAACCAAACAAACCCTCCAACCCAGATTGATGTAGTCTGCAAAACTCTTTTAAAATAAATGGAGAGATAAGACACTTCCATGACAACACCTGAAAATATTCATGAAAACCAAACCAGCACTGCAAAATGCTCTGAAGGGCATTCTAGGGTGACATTCTGAGAGCCCCCACAGAATGAATCCATCAGGCAAGGCAGACAATTAACAGGGACAGGGAGGGAACCAACAACAGGGAAATGACGTTAAAAGGGCACATCAGTCCACACAGGTATAACCATCCATGTGAAGGTCTCAATTCACCAATCAAAAGTCAGACCAGAAGAATGGATCAGGAGGCAGGATCCAATGATGTGCTGCACATAAGACACACATTTAATTCAAAAAGAAATTCACAGACTGAAAATCAAACTGTAGAAAACAACACTCCGTGCAACAGAAACTCCAAAAAAAAAACCAAGAGTAGCTATTCTATTTGCAGACAAGGTGAATTTCAACCCAAGACTGATTAAGAGACAGAGGAGGTCATCACTTCTAAAGGGAACAATCAAAGAAGCAGAGATAACAATTGTAAATATACATGCAACAAATACCAGAGCACCAACTACATAAAACAAACATTAACTCACATGAAAAATCAAATAAGCGGGGTTTGGGGATTTAGCTCAGCGGCATAAGCACCTGCCTTGCAAGCAGGCGGTTGTGAGTTCGATCCCTGGCACCGATAAAAAGACAAAAGAAAAAAAAAAAATCAAATAAGTACCAGTACAGTTGCATTGGGGGATCTCAATACCCCACTGTTGTAAATAGATCAAGTAGACAAAACATCAACAATGAAATATTTGAACTGAAACAAACTTTTCAACAAATGGGTTCAGTAGATGTCCACAGTATTCCACTCTACGACATTAGAATACATATTCTTCTCAGCTGCACACAGGAAGTTCTCCAAAATACACCATATATTAGTTGATAGAACATCCAAAAGAACTGAAATT